CTGTCTGGGCAAGGAGGAGAAAGCTTTTCATGTTGTCCCCACCCCCAGCAAAATATCCAAGCTCCCATTGGCCAGTTTCTGGCCAATAGGAGCTGAAAAATTTTGCTGACGGAAGGGACAGTGAATGAAGCCTCCTCAGTCCCTCCCTTCCTTCCTGTGCTGGAGCAGAGCCATGTGGAGCAGCCCCAGCAGCACACAGGGATCCTGTCTCAGGTTCATGCAGAGCTGCTGGCTGGGAGCCTCTGGCACCCCACCCCTTCTCGCCACCCAACTCCCTGCCCCACCACCCAAACCTTCCGTATCCCCTCTCCACACCTCTACAGGTCACAATTCCCTTCCATACACTGCACCCCTCCCCCAGACCAGAATCCTTTCTTGCATACGTATGCCTCCCTGACCCCATTCCTCCACTCCACATCACCACTAAAGCCCTCGGTACCCTCTTTTCCCCCTTCTCCCAGGTCAAAACCTCCTCCCATATCCTGCACCCTCTCCAACACCCCTTTCCCAGGCCAGAATCCTCCCCTGGATCACAAGTCCTTGCCCCAGACCATAACCCCCTCCTTCACCCAAACTCCATCTCTGACTCCACACTCCCACCTGCACCCCAGTCGTCTATTCCAAGCACCCTTCTACACCCCACCCATCCTCCCAGACCCCACATTCCTCCACAGAAGTGCTGCCCTTGACCATTTACCAAAATCACCTTGAAGTAGCCCCCATTAAAAATTATTGCCCACCCCTGCTCTAGTGTAAATTGAAAGTAGTGCTACTGAAATCAGTGGAGTTGTTCCTAGTTTACAGCAGCATAAATTAGACCAGAAAGTGATTCACTATGTCTGAAGTACATTGAACAGATCAGAATTACACTCTCTTCAAATAATTCTTTCTATTTATGAGTTAAATAGTGACCATCAATGTGGTAAGTATCATGAAAATGAATTTGAATGACCTTCCTAGTAATTTCTAGGAAAGTATATTTTCAGGTGTGGTAAGTAATGATATCCAGTGACCAAGGAAACTGGTTCTTGACATGGACACTCCATGGAGAATTCACAGTAATAAACTAACTATGAACGTCAGCTGGTGTGTGTGTGTGTGTGTTTTTGTTTGTTCGTTTGTTGTTCGTAGTGAAAAGAGCTACACACGTTTTTTGGGGGGAACGCCTTAATCCCAAATATTGTTTTACAGGAGAAAAGTGAACACTGCATATGTTCCAAGGTCTTTCATAGAAAAGATACATTGACCCTGTTCTGCCAGCAGAATGAATAGCCTTTTTACCTCCAATGAAATAAAACAAGAAGTGTATTTATTGTGAGTCTTAAAATAAATCTCCCAAATGCTAGGAAACGCCTGTCAGGTCTTTCTGCATGACACCATCTTGTACTAGTACAGCACTGTCTTGCCACGATCTTTATAACCATTGATGCTGGGATATGCGTGTTAGTGGTGGAATACCAAGAATGGATGCATTAAAATCACAGGTCCAAAGAAATCAAATCCCTCCTTTTGATCAATACAGTTTTTGAGTGTCAAAAAAAAATAATATCCATATGTTTGATTTAGGTTAGAAAGCTTATATATTGAAGATACTTCTACAAAATGTCCAGGTTAGGTGGTTGACTTTTTTTATAGAAGGTTTCTGGGCCATTGGTATTGTTTTAGTAGGAACTCCTCTGCTGTTGCTGGATACCTGGCCTAGAGGGAATTACATCAGTCAGCTCTTCTAGGTTGAATGTTTTAGCCATTGCAGTGAGGAGGCTTTGGGAGACGTGAAAAGAAAAGGAGAGGCTTCTAAGTGAGCTGAGGGGAATTATGAAGTGCTTACTGGCATGCAGACGAACCAGGAATATACTGACGTGTGTCACTGGTCACTGTTACACACAATACGTGATTGTTTATTTACACAATCTGATATGACTATTCCATGGTTTCTCTGATTTCACAGTTTAGTGTGGCATTTCAAAGAAGTTGCAAGTTGTGAAAACTGCTCCATAGGATGCTTTTAAGCCAGGTCCCCCCAGCACCGGGTCCTGTCTCCTCCCTCCCTCTCCCCCTCCCCCCGCTACCTCTGCAGGAGGCAGAAAGGGGGGGCAGGCGGATCCATGGAACCAGCACGTGAGGGGAACCTGCTCCGCAGGCGTATCTGCTCCAGCCTGCCCCTCTCACCCTCCACACTGCTGCCTTTCTATCGGAGGCAGCAGTGTAGGGGGTGGGGGAGCTTGTATAGAGTTGGCTTTAAGCCAACTCTTCACAAACACCGGCTGCTGCTCTTCCCTTCTCCCCACAGCTTCTGATAGAGAGGCAGCAAGGAGGGAGGGAATACAAGCAGTTGTCAAGATTAACCGATAAGCCTACGCTTATTAGTTAATCGTGTAGTCGTCTACATGGTGGCATCCCTAGTCTAGACCGTCTGGCCAGTGGACTAGCATGAGCAGCTGAGGCTGGTAATTCTATCCCATTTGTAGAACTGTGTGTATGAGTGTGTGCGCGTGGTGGGTAATTTTTGTAGCTAGGAGGGGTAAATAAGTTCTGCCTTCACAATAAGTGCAGCACGTTGCTTTATCCTCCTAACAGGATTTTGCTAGTTGTATTTCTACAAGTGTAACAAGTGGATGGAAACCTAAAAAGGGGAAAGCTCTACCCTGCAGCTCCTGAAAGGCAGTCGGTGGCTTACACATTGGCCTCAGACTTTTCTCGGTTCCAGGAATAGCAAAAGCAGCATTACAACAAAGCCTTCCCACACAAGAAACTATATACTTACAGCCACTAAAAGGTGGCAAGACAAAAATTTAATGGGATGGAAGGGAGTATAGCTGGGAGTGAAGTGCTTCTGAGTTCATGCCAAGCATCTGGGGCAGGTAGCCCCTCCTGATACTAACACTGCAAGTGCTACACTCTGCTTTTAGTGAGCTAGCGTAGCACATAGCAGAATGGAGTCCCAGGTCTGCAGCTACTCCACACACAACTATTTGAGCCTCCACACTTAATATTACTTTTAGATTTTCACTGTAAACTTGAATTGACCTGCATTCTAGTGAATGGATTAGCTCTTCTGATTCTGGATAGCCAAGCACGTTTCTGTTAACTATGCAGTTTTATCTACTATTCATTAAAAGCCCATAATGAAACTTAAGGCTGAGCAGTGTAGTTAACCTTATGTGGCTCCAGGAACTTTGAATTTTCTACTTAGTAACTCTGAGCCAGTAGCATCAGTCAATGAATACTGTATTAAGCAATTTCAATAGGAAAGTACCATAATTCCCAGAGTTCCCTTATCCTTGTTAAAGGACTTAGACCAGTGTTTCTTAAACTGTGTTCCACGGCACACTGGTGTGCCACGAGGCAGTCAGAGGTGTGCCACTGAGAACAGTAGAGTTCAAAATGGCCACCCTTAAAGGGGCAGGCAACCTTTTGAGGGGAAGGGGGGGGAGGCGCTCAATAACTTTTCCCCGGCCTCTTTTTTTCCCCCCCTCAACACAAAATCCTTGATGTTCCTCATAAAAAAATATTGTTTAGTGTTCCTCGGTCTTAAAAAGTTTAAGAAACACTGACTTAGACCTTAATTAAACAGCACTGTTGCATCATACCTGCTGCCTATTTTCCATCATTCACCCACATCCTTACATCCTCCCCTCTGTTCAGTCTGTGTTGTAGCAAGGTGGTGTCCCAGAACAAACCCCACTGATGACCTGTCATGGCCCTGTAAGAATTCTGCCCTCAGCTCCTTCTTGCTTCTCCAAAATAACTTGCTCACAACCCAGAGTACATTTTAAGCTTTCATAAAAATCCAATGTACTTTGGCCCCTCAGACCCAAATACTCCATCTTGGTGAAAAGATTCTGTAGCCTGCCACCATGAGGCTGCCTATTGCTTCTCTCTTGGGTTCAGGGATTTCACAGATCTCCGTGTGAGTCAAAGTAGTGGTTCAAGCTGGCTTCACTGAGGCAGCTAGAGCTATGTTCCAGCCCTGCTTTACAGAGCCTCTCTCTAAGAATCTGCTAAATGCTGTGGTGTCATCCCGTTCAGGGGAGAATTCCCTGATTAACACCTGGCTCCCATTCCTCATTTTATGGAACAAGATTGGCTGGCACCAAGACCAACAACTCCTTAAAGGGACCGGACCATTTTCTTACCAAGATGTCAATGACCTTGTCAAAGCAGCAATGGACAAGACTCTCCATGATCTTATATAGTTTCTCCCCTTCCTATATTCACTCTTGTGGTTTTAATATCCATGATTTCCAGTCACACTGGCATTGCCCCAGTAGACAGTGATGCTTTGGAGGACAATAAAATGGGTAGCCGTTCTTGAAATAAGTCTTACGTGGACAAGGTATGCTTATGGAACATTGACAGAACTTCTTGTGTGTGGACACGAGATCTGGGGGACCATGCAGTGGTTAGCATAATGAATTTCTCTAGTATAGGCAAGGCTTAAATAGGTTCTTTTGTTTGAAATTTAAAACAAGAAACTTTTTTTAAGGGAAAGGCATAACTTGTCCAAGAAGCCTTTTTAAAACAAGGAATTTACTTTGTCGTGATGTCCTTCAGTGTTTATGCCAAGTTTTGTACTATGCTGTAGGAGGGTGTGCTGAGTAAGTATTGGATTGAGAAACTGGGATGAGAAGTTTCAGTGTGACCCATTACTTCAAAGGTAGCATGCAAATATAATTTGTAAAGATTGAGTGATTCTAGATCTTGACCTCCTCCTTAGACTGAGATGTGAATGCACCTTCCTTCCTATAATTAATTAAATTCTGACATGCTCCTGAGGCTGTAGGGCATGACCACACCCCTTCCAGTCCTACTTCTCATTCTCTGCTTGTTTGAAGCAGGAGTAAGCAAGATCGTTCTCTGCACTCACTTTTCTCCCATAAGAGACTATATAAAACAGAAAAGGATCATCTCAACAGATCAACCCTGGTCTTCTTTCTGCTTGTTTCTCTTTCCTCAGCCATGGTAGAGCAGGCTGAATGGAGAAAGGACACGAGGTGCTCTATCTGTGATTAGATCTCAAGAAAGACAGAGAAGTCACCCATCTCCGCTCCCAACAGTGTGCCTTCCCTCTGCCTGGGGGAGATCGATTACGAGTCTAGAAGGGTTGTTGGTAACTCTGCTTTTCTCCACATCAGCCAAGACTTCTGAGAAATGCCTCTTTTAAGGGTAAGTGCTCTCTACTTTTGTGGCTCAGCAAAAAGGGCTGTTCTCACTGGTCAAGAGCTCCTTTTGGGGAAAATCAAAGACTTCTCAAGCATCTTCTGGTCTACTGCTAAAGAGAAATGCTTCATGATCTGCACCAGTTCCTCATAAGGATAATTAGAAACCTTGAAAATAACTCAGAAACTTTTCTGATTCCTTTTTTTCCCCTCAAAAAGATTCTGTTTTCCAGAATGCTCTCTTGCCATAATGATAGAAATGTAGCCGTGTTAGTCTGGTGTAGCTGAAACAAAATACAGGACTATGTAGCACTTTAAAGACTAACAAGATGGTTTATTAGATGATGAGCTTTCGTGGGCCAGACCCACTTCCTCAGATCAAATAATGGAAGAAAATAGTCACAACCATATATACCAAAGGATACAATTTAAAAAAATGAACAAATATGAAAAGGACAAATCACGCCGTGTTAGTCTGGTGTAGCTGAAACAAAATACAGGACTATGTAGCACTTTAAAGACTAACAAGATGGTTTATTAGATGATGAGCTTTCGTGGGCCAGACCCACTTCCTCAGATCAAATAATGGAAGAAAATAGTCACAACCATATATACCAAAGGATACAATTTAAAAAAATGAACAAATATGAAAAGGACAAATCACATTTCAGAACAGAAGGGGGATGCGGGGGTGGGGGGGGAGGTAAATGTCTGTGAGAG